CATCTAATGAAACTCCCTCTGGATGGAAACCTGAGGAGTGGGAAATGAAGGCTTCTTTCTAAGCCTTGTCCCAGGAAGCAGGGCCTTTAAATAGGCAGAGCTAGAAGGGTAGATCGGGGGACAGCTGGGTCCTCCAGACCTTTGAGGCATCCACTCTCTGCCTTCACTTCCATCTCCTGGCCTTCCTGTCCAGCGAACTTCTTAGCATCCTTTGAGGTTTAGCTACAGCCCTCCCTCTAGGAAGCATTCCCCAGTGCTCCTCCCAGCTAATTTGGATACCTGTGTGCTCCCTTCTCCACAGCACCCCTCACCCTCTGTTGCAAATGTGGACTTGCTTTCCCCCTGTGACCCCAGTGCTGCTGAGCACAATCCCCCAGCTCATCGGGGGTCCTCAGGAAGTGTCACTGAGGGTGAATGAGCCTGGGCAGCTTCTCCTGGCTCCTCTCCAGTGATGCCTTAGTTCTGGGTATTTCTTTGTATGTCTCTGTGCAGCTGCCTCACACCCTCAAGTCCCTGCCCTCCTACAGCGTATGGAAAGGCTCTGTGCTCCCTGCTCCTTCCCAATATCTGAAGCATTCAGGGCTCTTGCTTTTGTGAGAGCTCAAGGTGGTGTCCTTGGCTCTTTCGATAATTGCTAAATAACTGCTTGCCCTGGAAATTGCCCTGGAAGCCTCTCCCCACAGCTGCCTGGACCCACATCAGACATCTAGGTTGCTTGGTTACCAGTTTTCAGACCCGATTCAGGAAAGTCCCGAGGCCACAGAAAACTGAGTTTGGCTGCATGTGACCCACAGCCAATGCCTGAAAACTATCTAACCTTAGCACAATCTGTGCACGGAGGGGAAGTGAGCCGTGGGCACTGTCCTGCCTGGCCCCCGACGAGGTCTTCGCCAGCTCACTTACGCCTTGAAACCTTGGCATGTCATATGATTCCCATGCTACAGACAAGGACACTGAAGATCCAAACGACTCAGGAACGTACCCAAGGTCACCAGATAGTTTATGGTGGGCTTAAGATCCAAATCCAGGTTCCCGACTCCAGGCGTCGGGCTTTGTTTTCTCTGTCTCCATCCTGCTGAGGTTTGGTAAAGAAGTTTGCTTATAGAGCATTTTTAAGAAATGATTACTACAAAGCAATTCTTCCCACTGCCTGCGCCCCAAGTCCTACATCTCTCTCACCGTTGCTGAGACCCCTCTCTTCTCCCGCCCTGCCCTCGGCAGGAGCCGACACCTGCCTGGCAGGGGCGCCAGCACTCTGGCCGCGCCCCTCTGCCCGCGCTGCCTCCCCCAGGCTGCTCTGCCCCGGCTGGCCGGCCTCCCCGTACTACGCTTCCACTCCCTCATACTCCTGCCCGTGAGCACCGCTCACAGCGCTCTAAGGCAGGCGCTTGACACACACGCATTCAACAGAACAAAAAAGTTCCGTCCAACCTACTTTTTAATTCTATTTTTAACTTTTCTCCCCCAAGATTCAGCTGTTCACAGGGGTGTGACAGGAGGTTCCCGGAACCAGCCTTGTAGAATGAGAGGTCACTCGGGGTGCCTGCTGCCTCAGGCAGCGCCAGCCGCTCGGCTTTCTTCCCCAAACTCCCTACTCCGCCTCCTCCTTTGACACTCGAGCTAAATAGATTTTCTTCATATACTTCAACAAGCGGGTGATGAATTTTGGTAGCAAAAACATTTTTCACTTCAAATCAGATTGCGACTTACACTCCTACCTGGGGACTGTGAGTCTGGGGCAGTGGTTCTCAGCCCAGGCTGCCCATTAACACCATCGGGGAGGTTTCTAAAAATGTGCAGTATCCGAGCCCCACCCCAGACCAATTAGGTCTGGGTGAAGGGCCTGGGCAGCAGCACATTGCTCAGTACTCCCCAGGTGATTCTCTCAGGCAGCCCAGGTTTAGAACCATCGGTTGAGAGCCTTGCTGCTGCAAGTGAAGTCTGCAGACCAGCAGCCTAGGCATCACCTGACAGTTTGCTAGAAATGCAGACTCCCAGGCCCCATCCCAGACCAACCAAGTCAGAATCTGCATTTTACCAAGTTCCTCTGGGGATTTGTAAGCCCAGTGAATTTGAGAAGCATTGCTTTAAGGACAGAATAGTTTTTAAATAACTATATGACAAGTTGCATTCGAATCACCTGAAATCTTATTAAAATGCAGATTCTGATTTAGTAGGTCTGGGGTGGGGCCCACGATTCTGCATTTTAACAAACTCCTTGCTGGTGCTGATGCTGCTGATGTGGGGACCACCCTGATTAGCCAGTGTGTTGAATTGCATTTCAGTGAATTCTTTCATCTGAGCCTTGAGAGTAGAGAGTGGATATTTACCGACTTCTCCTAAGTTTTCTCACCATGACCGTTTCCTAATCCACCATCAAGGCAGGCCCACAGCTTACCCTCTAACTGGCTAGTACCGAGCAACCCTGGTGGGTGCATCGGGTGCCTTTGACATGGCAGAGGATTGAAACGTAAAGGTGTGTCCTCCCTGCCCCACTGGGGAGGCTGCGCGCTCGTCTGCCCGTGCCAGGTGACGTCAGGTTCCACACTAACGGTGGGTGACCCTCTCTGGCCTGGGCCCCCATGAGGGAACTATTGGAGACCTTTGCTAAAAAGCTGTTTAAGTCAAACTATGTCTAATATGTTCAGAGAGGAAAATTCCACAGGTTGGTGTGAAGGTTATAGAAGAAACTGGGGAGAAAAACTGATGAAGGTCTAAAAACAAAAATCAAAAACAAAACCAAAAAAACTCCTTAAATCCATTACAGAATTTTAGAGCTGGAAAGGAACTTTATCTTCTCCTAAATCCTGATTTTGGAGAAGAAAGCTGGGACCCAGTGAGACTATGGCTTGTTCAAAGTCACCAAGCAAAATAAGGGTCAGCCCATGAGTGTAGTATTTCTTCTTAATTTTGCTTTAGGTTGTTTATCTGGAAATGAATAACATGGAGTAGCTACTTCTTTCATATGGCCCTTTTCACAGAGTTCTACTTCTCACAGAAAAGGTAAAAATCAAGAGGCTGGATCATGGTTCTTGACCCTCATGGCCTTCATTAGAGAATTTCTCCCAGTTGCTGGTATTACTTGAATAGGGCCTGCCTCCTGTTAGGATGGTATGTGGGAGGAACTATCTAGCTTCTGGAAGGTACACCTGATGCCACTTTTCTCTTTCATGCCCATTACAAACGTTGTAAGCTGATCACAGTACTCTTTCAAGCCACTGCCAATCAATTGGATTTGGATCTCAAGTTGAAATGCATTTGCTGTCCCTACAATAGAGGTCATGTCTTGAAAAGCCCAGTGACCTTCAGATCCACCCTACATCTCACCATGTCTGCACTGGTTAGAAAATACTCTAGCTTCTCATCTCTCTCCCCACCCTCAGCTGCTCATTAATCCAATTATGAGTTTCCTTTATCCAACCAAACTTCCTGCTGAGTTGCAAACTCTCTTGGTGATGCGTTTGCCTTTGGTGATTAGACAGCCAAGTAGAAAATGCTGCTTTGTCCAGGCAGCTCTGTAATTTGGACTGAACTGACCTTACTCTGATAGTGCGGCACCCAACACATGCCCTGTGAGGCCACTCCAAGAACCTCCTTTGCACAGAGGCTCGCAGAGGTTAGTTTCTGCCCTGAAGCTGGAACCCTGCCCCTCCAGCAAGGTATTAAGGAAGCTTCCGAGTCGTGTTTGGCTCTGAAGGCAGTGCCTGGGCCCTTCGTTTTGGTCTCTGGCTCTGAACAGGAGCAAGCTTATTTGCTGGCAGGAGTATCTGTCTCCGTAATGGGGAGTCAGTCTTCAGATCTTCTCTTCATTAAGACATCAGCCTCACTCAGCCTTGCTCTCGGCTGCGAGATGCACTGACAAGCAGCAGGAGAAATTCCGTCAGGAAGGGGTTTGCTGCCTTTTGAAGGCAGGAAGTCCCCACCTCACCTGCGGGACTGGACCTGCTCAGCCTGGGTGGGACCTGGGCCAGCAGAGCCCTTAGCGCACCCTGTGACTCCGGACTCTAGGCCTGCGGGCAGTCTCAGGGCGGTGCCGTCGCAGCGTCCTGAGCATCTCCCTCGCTCGCGAAAGGAGGGGGTGGAGTCCTTCCACCTTCTTGGCCACTCTCATCTGTCTACCGGGTGTGTGCCACAGGCTCCCGTGGCCCCAGGCTGCTCGGCAACACCCTCAGTTATGTTAGTGATATAATAATAAATTATACAATAGATTATACATAATTAATTTATAATAAAACACGCACACAACAGTTTAATTTCTCCAAGTGAACAATGAGCTGCCCGCCAGGTCCTGCTGGAGTACGTCCCCTAAATGCCTGCTTCCTGGTCCGGGGGTGACGGCCAGCTGCCCTGGGGAGGGCCCTTGGCCAGGGAAACCCGCTAAGTAAGGTCCCCTCTAGGCTACCTCTGGGTCTGATCCACGGAAAGATAATCCTGCCCTTCCTCTACTGTTGTTCCAGACCTGGACGCTCATGAGGGTCTCACCCCACCCCTGGACTGTTTGAAAGCTGTTATTTTCTTCATTCTCCCAATCTTTCTCCCAGAGTATGGGAGATGCCTGTGTGTTTATACTCTACTGCTCCTTCCTTCCTTCATTCACCTACTCAACAATTAGCTGCCTGTTATGTGCTAGACACTGTCCTTGGCTTGATGTACATGAGTGAACAAAACAGACAACGACTCTTGCCCTAGTGGAACTTACATTCTAGCAGAGGGAGTCAGACAATAAACAATAAACATAATGAATAAATGTGTTGCACAGTGATAGGTGCTGTGGAAAAAGAAAAGGCAGAGCAGGACAAGGGTGACCAGGCGTGATGGGGGCAGGATGCAGTTTTAAAGAGGGAGGTCAGAGCAGGTCTTGTGGGAAGGTGGCAGTGTAGGAATGGCCAGGCCTTTCATGAACAGGGAGGAAAGCACTTCTGGGTCTACCAGGGGTCAGATTTTCCTGGGTTACTTTGGCTAGGAAATCTTTCAGTGACATTTGTAACTTTTGGTTTCAGATGTTCAGGATGTTTCTGTTCCTGTTGCTGCTGTGGTTTCTGCCCCCCACTGAGGGGTCCCAGCGGGCTGAACCCATGTTCACAGCAGTCACCAACTCAGTTCTGCCCCCTGACTATGACAGCAACCCCACCCAGCTCAACTATGGTGTGGCAGTTACTGATGTGGACCATGATGGGGACTTTGAGATCGTTGTGGCGGGGTAAGTGCCTCCCATCTTGTATCTGACAGATACATCAGTCAGATTTTACTGTGATAAGGCTGTGTAACAAATAACTCCCATACCCAGTGGCTTGCAACAACATACATCCTCACTTATAGATCTTGGCTGGGCTCAGTAGGGGTTCTAGCATGCTACTTCTTTGCCTTTTGTTACAGCAGTGGGGGGATGGAGTTAGATCCAAGAAAGAAGTTTGATCCACATGCTTTCCAGGGAGAAAAGTGAATGCTTTGCTTCAAGACACTCTCTTCATAGCCTTAGTTATACAGGTGTTACTGCCTTATCAGTGGGATTCTAGAATCTCTATGTAGGAGGGGCTTAATGGTGGACAATTGTGATAGAAGAGGATGCTTAATCTGCCTTTGGACAGCATCTTACATAAGGCTAAAAAACCATTAATTGTCCATGTCAAAGAAGGGAGGAGGATGGGAGTTAGGAAGGATAGCTAAACTTCCTCTAAACCATGCCTTGGTGCCATGCTCCCTTCTCTCCTGAGAAGTAACAATGTGTAGCAAGAAAGGCATAGGATTTGGAGACCAAATAACTTGAGTTCATGCCTGAGATCTACCACTTTCTTGTTGCATGACTTTGATCACTCCCTTATTTGCTGAGGTTCAGATATGTCATCTGTAAGAAAGGGGGCTGTAATGCCTTCCTGTCCTGAAGCCTGCCTCAACGAGCTATTGCACATGGCAGTACATTATAAATTCTGCCAATTATATTAACCATTATTATTTACTGAGCACTAATATGTGCCAGGCACTGTGCACATATTACGTGCATTGCCTTATTTAGTCTTTCTGAAACACTATAAAGTAGGCTATCATCCCCATTTAGAGAAAAGGAGATTAGGGTTCAAAGCTGCTGAGCGACATGCCCTCTGTCACGTAAATAGTAAGTAGATGAGTCAGGATTTATACCCCAAGGCTCCCTAATTCAACAGCTGCTAAACTACATTGTACAAAGTATAGTTTTCACTTCAAAAATCATTTAATCAATAAAAACACTACAGGGAGCTGTCAACCTTCTTCTGGGAGGCCTGAGCTTTTATGGCAGCACTGACCGAAGTAACTGGCAGGTAGCATTATTGTAGCAGTTTCAGGTAGCAGTAGAAAGCATTGACCTTGGAATTCAAAGACCTGGTTTTAATTCTCACCATGCCATTCAATAATTGTGAGCCTTGTGCACGTTAATTAACTATGCAGCCCTCACTTTCCTCATCTGTAAAATGGGCATATTGAATACCCTGCGCAGGGCAGTGGTAAGGATCAGTGGTGAGGATATATTAAAAGATTCTTTGTAAAGTGTATTTCTTCTTTCATTTGTTCCTTTCTTCTACCCTGTGAAGAGTGAAAGGGACTACATTCTAGACCTCCTGAAAGTCTAGATGTGCATGCTGTCCAGTAGAACTTTCTGTGATATGTAGATGTCCTATGTTGTTGCTGTACAATATGGCATGCACTGGCCACGTGTGGCTGTTGAGCACTTGAACTGTGGCTGCTGTGACTGAGGCACTGCATATTTAATTTTATCTCATTTTAATTATATGGTCACATTCAAATCAACACAGTTCTGAGTAAAAACTAAAGAGCAGAGTGATAGAAAAAAGAAAAATAGAAATGATTCTAATGACCATTATTGCCAGAGGTGAGCTGAGTAGGGTTGAGGCTGAGCAACTGGCCTATGTTCCCAGTTCTGCAACTGTGCAGTCACTCCCTGAATTGGAAGGAAGCGCCCCTGGTGCAATCCTGCCTCCCAGAGCCATGTGTCGCTCTGCCAGAGTCTCTGGTTAAAGGACTTGGATGCATTCGAGATGTTCTGGTTGACCTTGCCTCCTGCTAGGCAACACTAGCCTCCCCCAGTAGAGCCTGGGGGCTGACGGAGGACAGAGAACAGCGGGACAACCATCTGTCCCCTCCTCCTGGGACCCCCACAAGTTATTACAATGAGCATGTTCTCCTTCCTTCTTGGACAATGGGCTTTAGGCAGAGGGCTCCACCCCACCTACCCTTAGATGAGCAACGGATTGCACTGCACCTGCTGAGTGTGCAGCTTCTTTCTTTCCAAGTGCCAGACATACATTTCCCCTTCCTTTTTAGTGAAGTCTTTTGCTCTTTCTCTCAGGAAATTGGGCTTCGTGTCCTGTATCCTAGAGAAGCTAGGCCATCATATGTAATCAGCCTAGAGCAGATGTAAAAACTTTGTCCAGCTTGCTGCTTACTGCGGGTCATGTAGCCCTTTAAAACCATCCTCTGGAAACAAGAACCAGACCAGACTGGGTCTTGATCCTGGATCTTCTAGAGATTGGGGAAAGACTCCTGTCTCTTCTCCCAGGGCAGAGGCGACCCAGGCAGCCCCTGTCTGAGAAAGCGTGGTTTGCTGGCTGTTCTTCTGAAAGATGATATTGCTCACCCCCACAAAGAAGAAGAGTTATGCAGAGGACAAGATGGCAAAATTGGGCAGCCTCCCAGCCCCAGGTCAGGCCTTCTTTGTGGCTATTATGAAGCATTGTGAATTCTCAGGGCATCGGAAAGTCACGTTCTAATTTAAGTACCAAAACACATTCCAAAGGCAAATATAACTTTTTATTATCTTCGGCTTAAGATGATTTGTCACTGTCTTCTTCTTTGGGCCGGATAGCCAGGGGCTGACTATACAGACATATTTAAATCAGGACCTTGGGAGGTCATTCAGTCCACCCCTTGCCTTCCAATAAGGCCGCACCTGTGATTTTTGGAGGCTCCATTTATTTAGAGGCTTTCCATGAGAATGTGTGCAAGCTGTACGTAATCCAGCTCAATTACTTATGTCAAGACTGTTTGACTAATCTGAATCCTTCACAGTAGAGCTTAATAAGCCATTTCTTTTAACTTTAGTTTTGCTATTGCCTTTGAAGATATAAGCCAGTGGTCACCATCCTTTCAAATAATGGCAGCTAGGATCACTGCCCTGCCTTTCATTCCCTATGGACCCCCGGCAGCATTTCTGGCTTTGACTTTTATGCTATTTCATCTACCCTGCACCCACATTAAACTCTGTTTCTTCTGTTTGATTACAGACTCTCTGTTCAAGAATCGCATAGCAGGAATTGAAATTTTTTAAAAAATTGAATGTGAATCGTTTTACCTGGGGCACCTGCAGTCCAGCTAAATAGAGGCCTGCTCTCTATTATCTTACAGACCTTTCTATTAGCTGGCCCCAGAAGGCATTTACATTTTCCTCCTGGGATAATGTCCAGCTCCTCAGTTTATAAGGTGCCACACTTGAACTTGCCTTGGATTTGTTGACCTTGTAGTGTGTCTGCCTCAAGCCCTGTTGCTTTGAGTATTTGCTCTTTGAATAGGTTTGTTTTGTTTTGCTTTTTCGGTATCCTCGTTCTGGGTATTGATGGCATTGATTCTGACCATGTTGTGGGTGAGTTTGTATTGTGTTTCTGATTCTTGAGTTAATTGTGATGGAAGGCGTGTGCGTGCATCTGACTCTGGGAGGCGCAGAAAATGACCGCCCTTTGTTCTGCAGGGATGGGGGAGGGGATGGGCCAGCTCTGCTCCTCTGTCCCAGCTGAGTGAGTGCCTCCGCATGTAGAGGGCTTATCTGTTGATCAGCAGGTGCATGATTGTGGTCTGCTTACAGTCTCCTCCCTGCAGCGCCAGGGGAGGATTTGATCACCCCCAGAGAAGTGTGCACACGTACAGACCATTGAGGATCTTCAGGACTGGTTCCCTGGGTAAATAGAAAGCCCAGTAGCTTCCCCTTTTCTCAATGGAACTAAATACCCAATATGAAGTCTTGCATAGTCTGTAAAGGAATTCTCGTTGCTGTCAGTCTTGTACGATTCCCTTTAGAGCAGCATTTGTTTCCTGGGATATCCCTAGAGGTCCGAGATAACCCCTCTACCCTGTCAGTTTCCAACAGGAGTTTTGCTCAAATGGTAAAGTTTAAATCACTCTTTAGATCAGTTTTTATACACAAAGAGTATTCATTTGATAAAATCTTAATGCATTCTTCACACTTGGAAGGATTTCATATAAAGGGATGCTACATATCATAAAGTCATGTTTTATTTATTTTTTCTTAATTTTGCAGCTATGTCAGAAAACTTTTTTAATTTACTGGAGTTAATTGAATTATTTAAAAGGCAAAATGTATTCATTTACCAGATTAATCATAATTACGTAAGAGGCATTTTTTCCATTATAAATAATAAAAACAATGATAAAGAATAAGATATCTGCCTATAATATAATCAAAGCAGCATTTATGCCTTTTATTATAAGTACATATGAGATACATAAAACATATAAATATAATACATATAGTATGTATAGATATAGTAGATATACCATCCATATAAATGTATTTAGGTATATGTAGTATATATAGATATACATATATACTAATAAATATAAATATATTTAGATATATCTACATAGACTACATATACACACACACTTTTAACAAAATAGAAGAAATACTTTGGAACTTTCAATCCTAACAGCTGCTTTGTGAAACGTAACATTTTAATAAATTTGATCTTAAGATGTTATATGATTTCTACATCTTAAGATGTTACATGATTTTGTTCAGTTTCTCTTCTTTAATTTAAAGTGTATTTTACATTTTGATAACATTTAAATACATTTTACTGCAAAAAGATTCACACAGTATAGATAAAAGTAAAAATTCATCTTTACCAACCCCCACCCCTACTCCAAGCCCATCCCTGTCCTCTTCCAGACTAACAACTGTTTTTAGTTTGATGTTTATACTTCTAGAAATTTCTATGTAACACATATATTTACAAAATATATGATAACTTTCAGAGAAATCAAACTAATACCTTTTGTTCCAAACCTGCTTTTTTTTTACTGTATAATATATTCATGGTTCAAACATACAGATCTAGCTTATTTTTTTTAAGTTGCTTTGTGTGAATGTACCACATTCCTTTTGCCACTCCTCAGGTAACATTTAAGCTGTCT